AGCAGCTCCAGCTCGGCCGAGCTGCGGCGGCTGAAGCGAATGGACGCGCGCCGGGACTCGCGCCCCGAGGGCCGCCGCTCGCGGCTGCGCTGCGGAGCCCACCCTGGGGAGCCCGGCTCCAGCTCCAGCCCCGGCTCCGGCTCCAGCCCCGGCTCTGGCTCCGGTCCCGGCTCCCCCGCTCCGCCGCTCGCCCGCTCCGCCTCGGGCTGGGACATGGCCCCGCCGGCGGCGCCCGGCTCCGCCGCCAGCATCGGCCGCTGCCCGGGCAGCTTCGCACCTGGCGCCGCCGCCGTCCCCCGGGGCCGCCGTCCCGGTCTGCGTCCCTGCCCCGCCCGGCGGCGCCGCCCCCGTCCCCGCACCGCCTCCCCGCGGCCACCGCCCCCCGCCTGCGCCGCGGGGGCGGCCCCCACCGGACACCGCGTCCGCACCGGCTCCGTGCGCCCCGCACCGGCCCCGGGCGCCGGCATCGGGCTCCACGCAGCGGGCACGAGCGCTGGCCCCGGCGCCAGCACCCACGGCGGTGCCAGGCGCTGGCACGGGCAGCGTGCCCAGCACCAGGTCCCCACGGCGACCCCCGCTGCAGGGTCTGTGCCCTGCGCACGGGAGTCACCCCCCGGGACCCTGGCAGGGGCGACCCGGCCACGCAGCCAAGCGGAGCCCCCACATTGCAGTCACTACCTGGGGGCTCCTGGCCCCTTCCCTGCAGCTGGAGCCCTGCCCTGCTCCTGGCCCCGGGGCCGGGGGAGCTGAGGCATCACACGGTGACGCAGGCAGCGCGGCGCTGCAGGGATGAGCTCCTTTCCAACGTTTACCAAGTGCTTGTGACTTGGGAGTGCGGAGCAGCGCGTTCCGCCGAGCAGCGGCCACGGGAAGCAGCTCCCGCCTTTCAAATCCTGGTGGCTCTCAGGTCCCGCTGCTCTGCCCCAGGCAGCCCAGGCTCTCGCTCTGCCCCCGGGCTTCATCCCCAAAGGAGGCTCATGCAAACACCCAGACATGAACTTCTGCTGCAGCCCTGGGCTCGTCCAGGGTCCAGACAAGAGCCTCTTGTCTCTGCAATTTGAACTAAGTTGCTCACTCAGTGCAACTGTTTACACAAAACACACGCGACATAAAACACAAAGCTATTGGAGGCAACACTAATTTCTGTACCTCGAGGTCAGGTTGTTTCTGTTCAGCAATAAAAGAACCACTAAAGGGAAGGGGTAAACGTCCTCCCGCAGCTTCCACCACCGGCCCTGTATGTGCAGGAGTGACCCCCCCACTGGCTCTGACTCCGCTGCAGCCCCGCAAATCCGCGCCCGGGCGGCAGGAGGGGACGCGTTTAATGAAATCTTGTTCGCCAGAAGCCCCGTGTCCAGCTGCTAATCTCTGGGCCGGGCCAGCTTGTGCTACCTGTGCATGACCCTGCTCATCCTGCTCCGCTCATGGAGCACAGGATCAGGCAGAAACCGCCCCAGGGAGAGACTGGATCCCTCTGGGCTTGCAAGCAGCCCATGTGCAGCTGCGGGGAGCGAGCGCGTCCCTGCCTGCGCCCTGCGCTCCCCAGCGCTTGCTCGGGTGCGGGTGCAGTTGGGGAAGGGGCCCCTCAGCCCCAGACCCCAACCCCCCTTGCTGCAAAAGCCGGGCAGGGGGCTGGGGGCACCTGGGGCTCCCGCTGCAGAGGCCCCTTGTGTTGTAAAGCGCAGCCCAGCTGGAACCCACTCTGATGCTGAGGGGTTTTGTTGGGATGTGACCTCCTGCTGGGCAGAGACATCCTCCCTTTTCAGGGACCCGCCAAGGGGACAGTGCCTCCCGCCTCGCCGTGCAGCACCCCCGGCCTCACAGGCTGCACAAGGCCAGGGAGCAGGAGCCCATTCCCGTGTGGCTCTGAGGGCTCCTCTCCTCCAGAGGCTGGTCTGGCCCATGTGAAGGGCTGCAGCTTCCCCACTTGCCCAACTTATGTCGGGTTTAAAAAGCTCCCCCCTGGAAAAGTCTTTGCTTTTGCTCTTATCCACTGCAGCTGCCGCTTTCAGCAAAGCTGCAGCTTTTGTCTTTCCTGGCTGAAAATCTCCCCTCGATGTGGGACAGCCACTAGTTCTGCACCATCAGGAGCAGATCCAGGCCCCGTGGGGCTCCGGCCGCTGCAGGCTGCACCCCGGAGTGGGATATTGGCCCCACGTGGGGCCTGATCCCAGTCGAGCTGGAGCCGGAGGCGGGTGGGAAGCAGCGAGCTCCAGGCCGGATCCCCAGCTATCAGCGGGATCAGCAGGGATAACACCCGACACCCTGCGCCTGCTCGGGTGACGCTCCCTGGGCGCCGCTGCCCGTGCCAGCCCTTGGCTTTGAGGAGCCGCCGCGGCGCGGCCGCTCAGCCCGTCCCTGCGGGCGCTCGGCTGCCGGGAGCGCCGGGCAGGGCGCCGAGCGGAGCCGCTCGCCCGGGCACTCCCGCTGCCCCCGGCCCTCCCGTCCAGCAGCGGGGACAGGGGGGCACCCGCCGGGCCCTCGGGCAGCAGAGGCCGGTGCCCCGGGCTGCGGCGGGGAGCTGCGCGCTGCAGGGCGGCCGACGTGCTGGCTCCGGTACCCGGCGGCACAGCCAGCGGGTGCCTTGAAAATCACAGGCCACAGATAAGTCCCCTCAGGACGGCCTTAGCCCGGAGTTTCGGATGCCACCCACACCGTAATTCACCCTGGATTTCACGCTTATCAAAGCGAACAGCTCCCGATCCCGGCTCCGCGCGGCCGGGAAAGGCCGCGGAGCTCCTCCCGGCCGCGGGCAGCGGGGCCCGGGCGTGCGCGGCTCGATAGCGCCTTATCTCGGCGCCCGGCCTGCGCGGCACCGCGCCCGGCGCCGCAATCAGCCCGGCCAGACGTGGCCGCGGGGGCTGCGCCGAGGCCTCGGGGAGGAACCAGGGCTCCTTTCCCCTCGAGGGCGGCCGCCTCGCCGCTGCTTTGGCTGCTGAACGGAGCCCGTCGGCCTCGGTTGTTACCGCGCGAGGCTGCCGGGCTCCTCCTGGGGTATAAAGGGGGCAAAGCAGAGTCGGGAAGAGGCTTGGAGGCCGTGAGCCCCCTTCCCTCCAAGCAGCCCAATTGCACCTCCTTCCAAGGGAGCCGGCAGCCCCGGGCCTCCCCTCGCGCCCCGCTGGCCGCAGGCAGCCTGAGCGGCTCCGGTGTCCCCAAGCGGAGCAGGGCTGGCGCCCGTGTCCGTGATGCAGACCGGGAGCACATTCCTCCTCCCCTTCCCCGGCAGCAGCCTCCCGCCAGCAAGGCTTGAAGGAAAGCGGCAACTTTGGGCTTATCTGATGTCACATCAGAGCTTCCTACAGAGGGAACAAGTCTAATGAAGAGCAGAGGCGCTCGAGGGGAGCGGGGTGACGCGGGAGCGGAGCGCCCTGCGGCCCCGCAGGCCGAGAGGCTCCGCGGGGGCAGCGGCGAGGGGGAGACCCCGCGCGGGCAGCACCAGAGGGGCAGATCTCGGCCTTCGCAACAAGCCCCGGCGCTGGACAAAGACGGTTCCCACGGGACCATCCGGGCCGCGGCCGCACGGGGAGGCGGCCGGTGCGGAGGCCGGCACGGCACGGAGGCCGGCTCGGCACGGAGGCCGCTGCGCTGGGATGCGCTCCCTCTGCTGGGGCCGCGTGCCCAGCGCGCAGCCTGGCGCCGTCCGCACCGCCACCCGGGCAGGACGGCAGCGCCCGCGCCACGCACGACGCGACAGGCGGCCGCGCGGGAGGCCACCGCGGCCCTCCGCGCTCCATGCCACCGACGGCGCGGGCCGGCCGAGCCGGGGCAGGACGGACGGTGCTGCCGGGGCGCGGAACGGGGCTGCCCGGAGGGATGGACGGTCCCGCGTTCCAAGTAGGGCCCTGGAACCGGCAGGAGCGACCGGCTCCAGGAGGTGCCCGGGGCCAGCCCGGCCCAGCAGGAGCCCCGCTCCGCCGCCGCGGGCGCCGCGCTCCACAGGGACCTGCGGGAGCGGGAGGGAAGCGCCGCGGGAGCCAGCGCCGGGGGAGGACAGACACAGAGTGGGAGCCCCGCGCCTGCAGAGACGGAGCCAGGACCTCCCGCCGAGCCCACGCGAACGGGCTGCTCTTTCACAAAGGGCGTTTTTGACCTTCGCCGTCCCACCAGCTCAGCCGGGGCTCTGGCACCTCGGCCACACAGCAGATTATCTCCCGTTGACAAGGGCTGTCAGCAGCCGAGAGCTCCGCGCGGGGAGGGCAGGGAAGGACAAACTGCTGGGCACCGGAGCCAGAAGCTGCCAGGACAGGGCCTTTCTGCTCCAGGCCATCGCACCAACCACAACGGGACCAACTCAAGGCCCACGCGGCCCAGTAACCCCCGTCCGAGCGCAGCAAGTGCCGAATCCTTTGGCAAAGGGCTCCAGAACGGGTGAGCAGAGCGAGAGCCTCCCTGGTCACAGCCGCCCTCCGTCGCCCATGAGGAATTTACTGTATTTAGGCCATGGCTTCTGATCAACCACGTACATCGTTATCAGGATTAAGCATCTGAAAACTTAAGTCACGCTCCCTGCAAGCTCGGCTTTTAACAGAGCTTGACTCACCCCTGCACTGAACCCAGGAGCTTCCAATGAACAGCACATGGAAAATGGAAATAAGTCTTGCCTTGAAGCCGCCAGCAGGGAGCAGAAGTCCAGGTGGGCTGTAACTCCGTGCAAACCGCACAGTGCTGCCAGCTTCCCAGCCCGGTGCGATGGCTTTGCAGAGACCTCTAGAGATCATCTAGTCCAACCTTCCTGCTCCAGCAGGGACACCCAGAGCACAGGGTGACACCCAGGTGGGTTTTGGAGACCTCCAGAGCCTCCTCCAACGGAGATGGAGCTGCCTGGGTTTCAGGAACACTGCTTTCAAGTACACTTGCTACCCTGGCCTGTCACTCATGGAGAATCAAGAGAGACAAATAGGCCCAAGCTGCTCTATAAATACATCTCACTTTAATTATTCCTTTAATTATGAGCTCCTACGGCGCGCGTGCAGCGCAGCCTGCCCGGCGGCAGGCACGGCTCGCGCTCCCGCTCAGGTTCCCGAGGCTGCGGCGAGGGCCGAGCGGGACGCGCCAGGAGCCCCCGCGGCCCGGCCATGGCAGATCCCGCTACGGCCGCTCTCCGGGGAACGGGCAGCGCGAGGAGTGAGGGTCCTTGCTCTCCGCTTGCGGTGTGGAGCCTTTGGGAGCTGCTGGGAGCAGCTTTGACCTCGCAAGCGGAAATGAACGGGGAGAAAGCAAAGACAGAGCATCTCTGAGCATCTCCAAGTGGTCACGGCTTCCGAAGGCTTCACACGCTCTCCTTGCCCCAAGGAATCTGAAGTTTGCAGCTGCTGCTCAGAACCAGGCCAAGGGATGGGACCTTCCCAGCTGGAAACGCTTCAGCAGCCAGAGGAGGGCGGGAGGAAGAGGCTCCTGTTAGAAGAACTTGACTCCTCGGCCATCGTCCAGCGTGATAATCTCAGCTTTGTGCTCTTGCTGCAGGGCCTGCAGAGCCCGGAGCAGCACCGACTCGTCCAAGCCATGGAACTCTAGGAAAGGGCAAACATCCCATCAACAGGAACGGGGGGAATCACTGAACGGACCAGCTTATAGAAGTCGGGGAGCGACGATGCTGGTGACCCCGCAGGGTGACAGATTTGTGGCTCTTTGCAGCAGCAGGAACGGGCCCACGGGTGCCCTGGACGCCCTGCCCGCCGTTACCTTCGTTCTCCGTATCGTCGCCGCTCGTCAGCTCGTACAGCGTGAACACAGAGTTCGTCAGGCCGTTCTTCACTACCTGGAAAGGGAGAAGCAAGGGAGCTTCAAGCCTCCCTGCTGGCAGGTCCTCAGCACGGATCTCCAGGAGGTCTTAGCTCAAGTGAGACAGCGTGGACAATGTTCAGCATGGACAACCCCCCTGGAGAGGCTCTGGAGCCCCGGGGAGTCAATGAAACATCCCCACGGAGCCCGGACGGCGGCTCCCCGCGTCCCTCCACTCTTTGCTCCTTCGGCCCGTGTCCAAGGAGCTGTCTGGCAGCCTCCTCTTGGAAGGAGGCAACGCAACGAGGCGGCTCCGTCCTCCCTGCGACGCTGCAACCGGCCGCAGGGCCGCGGGAAGCTCCAGTTGCCCCGTAGGGCACCTAAAGAGCCGGAAAACCGGCCCCGGGGAGGCAGCAGCGTGGGGAAAGCGGGAGCGTAGAAGCAGCCCTCGCAGCGAGCGCCCCGCTCCGCTCCCGGCCTCACCCACTGGTAGATGAGCCTGCCCCAGTCCTCCGGCCGGCGCCACAGGACCAGGAAGCTGGACTTGTTCTTGTCCAGCCACTCCAGGTTCCCTGGAAAGGAGGGGACAGGGGGCGTGAGCGGCGGGGAGGGCGGCCCGGCGGGGAGACGGGGGTGTCACGCACGCACCCTGTTTGCGGAGCTCCTCCAGCACCACCTGCACGGCCTCGAGCGGGAGCTTCCCTGCGGGGCGCTAAGGAGCGGGCACGGCCGGGGGCGCGGGGAAGCGGGCACGGGCTGCACCGGGAACCGGGGCTGGGGGAGGGAACTGGGGCTGACGGGAACC